CAAAATACTAAAATTCATCCAATTCTCTTTTATTTTCGACGAAAACAGAAATATTGCATCGCGATGCACTCGACCGACCAAACACGCTATACGTGTGGGGTTCAGGCTTCTGTTGCAGCACCTTAGATTAGCATTAGAATCGAATGATCAGCCTGAAATCGTATTGCGGTATAACCTCATCGTATTTCATTACTCGTAACTAACAACGGTGCGGTCTGCGTGCAGCCCGGATTTCAACCCAAAAGAAATCACTTGGACTATTTTTACCCGAAAGATATACACCAAGACGTGAAAGTTCACGCCACAAAAACCCCGCACTACATGCACTGTTTAGTAGGGAGTCGAACAAGTCGACACAGACCTGATTCGAAATCATATACTAAGTAATAAGATTGGCTTCTACGGATGAAGTCCATTGGGAATTCAACACTTTTATCGAGGAGAAAATTCGTTTTTTTTTCGACATACTTTCGTTGTAACAAGAGAGAATTTGATGAATTTTCGTATTTCGGCTTTTCATTGGATTATTGTCTAGATTCTCAAAAACAGTGATGCCCGTACCTACGAGAGTTGGTATAATTTGAATAGAGAAGCCACAAACACAGGTTTGCACAACGTATCCCATGGATAATTTCACTGCATCTGTACACGTGCACATACTGCAGTCTATGTGATCATTAATAAAGATGGTCAGTAAATAAAAGAATCATAGGGAGAGAGGATTGCGGTCAAACTCAACCACTAAACACATTTGTTACCAAGGTAACGCCAGAATGACAGTTTCGGATGGTAGTTTGAAGGTATATTGCCCCGGCGGATTTCACAACCTTCGTGTTGTTTGCATTGTACAGTATTCTGAACGCGTCGCGCAGCATGACACTGTGTCTCATTTTGACCAGGTGTTGTGTGATCGACGAACTGAGTTTCCTACCGGTCATTGTTGACCTCGTACTTTCGAAGTGCGTATAATTCCAAATTCGGGGGGAATGCAATACACATGTCGCAGGGTCTCCTTAAGCACTCGTAGTCTAGGGACGAAACCACGTTTTCCGCACGCCCAAACCGGATGGTATCACATGAACACTGGAGCTTTAATCACGTCACGTGACTTAGTAGCCCAACGTGAGTCATGCGAACTGTTGTGGAGAAAGCACTGTAATTCCACTTAGCACTGGCTGAACAGGTGCGTCAATTATCATGGGAGTATCAGTCGAAGCGATTGCGATAATTAACTTGAGTGAACTACTGAACACAAAATTGTTACAAAAGCAGAAAAAAATTAGTGAAGAAGATCGCCAGTGTGCATGAATGGGAGATGAGTAAGAGGCTAATTCAAATCATCTTGCAATTACCACATAAAAATCTGCGAAGCCGTCGCAACAAAAACAGGATAGTGATTCAAGCCCGGGAAGAGGATTTGCGATCCACACATTTCCCGATGTGTTTTAATTAAACAGCAACACCCTGCCATCGCTCTGAGTAAAATAAAGAAGCATGGAACTCATTTACTCGATAGAATCTATCGATTCCTCGATACACCTCGTTCCCTACCTTTGGTATGGCATTCAAAGTTGACGAAACAACCGCGTTGAATGCATAGGTGTGAAAAAATGAAAGCAGTGACAGTCACTTACCAATTGCCCAATGTTCTGTGCAACTGAGCAGTGGATCAGGTACAATTCATTTTGTTTCACCTCCTCCGGTATGATGACACGAGTTGTTCTAACTCGACTATCCACACGCCATGTGATTGGCATTCGTGACTGATCGAGCCATAGTTTGCGTCGCCTCAACCATCCCAAACTGACCTGATTCAATTTATCAGAACGGATAGGCCAGACGGTAATTTTCGGCTTCAATGGTTCAGTGTAACGCAGTTGGCAATACAGTACCTGATTCGGCTGCCTTATAAGCGGTTTTGTCTGGTTTGTTCTAATTGGATTCTGTTGAGTTGGATCAAGATGAAAGAATAAATCCGGTGATGTTGGATGCACACACAGACGTACTGTGCTTCGTCTAGAAAACACACCTTGCGCGTTAAGTTTCTCATACGCGTCCGCGATCCAGGCCCAATGAGATAAGGTGGACGTGGAAGACTGGGTAAGATTCGTTCTCGGAAAACACTGCATTATAGCTCCATCGTGTTCCGGTGCGAGAGTCAGATTCCAAGCTCGGGTCAGTTTTTGTGTCCCGTTTCGGTCAAAACGGACCGGGGTTTTCTTCGTTTTTTCGAATAAATCCAATTCGCTTAAACGTGCCAATTGTCCGGTTTGGGCGTAGTTCAAGTGACCAATCAGTTCCGTCCGAATCATTCGGTAACCACGAGCGATTGCGTCTGATTCGTCACAGAATATTTGATATGCTTTAACCTCACACAGAATAAAAATGTGATCACCAGGCTGAAAACAAGGTGGTACATATGATTTCACATGATCGGGAACCGCATTTGGTTCGCCCTCAAAGTCCAACTCCTCTTCCTCTTCTTCCTCAATTTCTTTTTCAGTATCCAACTGATCAATAATAGTCTTCAACTCATCTAGATCATGTGCCAAACGCACTTCCGGTCGAGCCATTTCCGGGACAATACACAACGGATGCACTGAAATTTTGCTCAAATTGTACTGCCGTGTTTGGTACGCACCAGTGGTCACAGATGTTGTACAAATGTAATACCCGTAATCATTTGTCGTGACTGGTTTGATATCGAGAGTATGCATAGTTGACCATCGCAACGGCGGATATGTGAATACACGTGTTTTATAGTTGGTTGAATGGCTTTCGAATAGACGTTCGGCAAAAGTGAAACTAAGAATCGGCTCGGCACGATTTGTGTGATACTCACTCAGTGTTTTAGCTCGGAACCAAATAAGTCGAATAGGCTGATGATCAAATCGGACAGTGGATTCCATCAGTGGACAACGAGCCGTGATCACATTGGGAGTGAACACAATGATGTGCGAAAAACTGACCGAGTCTAGTGAATGCATTTCATCGTGCTTACGAGTTTGTGCTGATTTGGCTTGTGTGAGCCAGCTATCACGCAGTTGGTAAACGAATCGCATCCACGTATGTCTGTGCACTTTCGGGGATATTTCATTCAGTTCCAGCCTCCAAGCCTGTTCCAATGAGTTGATATGGTCTTGGAACGTGAACCGATTGGCAACAATATCGCGAGGCACAAGACGAAACCACCAGCTCATAAGTCGTTTTATTCTATCCCGTTCGTAGACCAGTAGGTCTTTGCGTTGTGGGATGATCATGCTCTCTTCTTCCGCTTCTAGTTTATCACTTGTATCGCGTGGACTGAATCGCAACACTTCCGGAGTGATCGAAGTGGACTTACTCAGCTCGGGCCTATTTTCAGTTACTTTGACCGGTGCAATTTGTGAACCGAGTAGTAAATCTTGTAAACGAACAATTTCCCCCTGCGCTTCTTCGCGATATGATTCGTCAGCATGTGAACCAGATTGTTGCCTCCACAATCTCTTGAGCTTGTTTCTATCCCCATCAACTTCACTCCATGCTGTAATGATTTGCTTAGGCCACCGGTATTCTGACATCGATTTCGAATTAATCACCTTTTTCCACTCGGCCGTTGCAGCTTCAGAAACGATCCACTTTTTCAGCTTTCTTTTATTATCCCGTTCCATTTTGATACGAGCTTGATCATCGTTCGTTGATGCGTGTGTATCGATCGATTTTTCATATCGGAGTGGAATTTCGCGAGCGCTCAACCACTCGGCTATCCTACTTTTTGCACGAAGGTCTCTTGATTCGGGTTGCCACGCTCTGCTTGACTGAGGTTTGATCGTTCGGAGGTTTGGTTCACGAACTCTAACTGTATACTTACTGCTTTCCCTATAACTCTCCACCAACTGACTCACCACACGCTTCGTCTCTGTATAATTCAGATGCACAGTATTTCGATCGTCAGACTTTTCCCGTTCCCTTCGATGTTCTCCATACAAATATGCTCCGCTGTGGAATTTGTGAGGAACTGTCACTCGTATTGACTGATCTTTGCGATTTTTACGTACGATATCAACAGAAAACAATCTTTCTGGTTCAGTGCTAACATCAACCTTCCGCCGCTTCTGCACGCGACGCAACCATTGGTCATGCCACAATTTCAAGTCAAAATTATCCCATGTCTCTTCACTCAAGATATCATCCACTTGGAGTTGTTGTTCAAGGGATAGAGTTAGCTTATCACGTTTCTCTGGCCTTAGTCCCACATCGGTTCCTTTTCTCAAATCTTCGCTGATATTTGGCCATCTATTCTCATCGTCCAAACGGATATCTTGTTTATCATCCACCACAACATCTTCATCGTAATCAACCAAAGAGTCTTCCGGTTCGTCTGACTTTTTTCGTTTTTCATCCTCTTCGTCTGGTTGCAAGTAAAATGTCACCATGATGCTTCGACTCAATGGTTTTGGTTGACAGGGGCACACTATTGTGCAACGAAAGATGTAGGTACCGTCTCGTGGTAACTTTTGCAAATCAAGCTGTTCATCATTTGTTATATCTTGTGGATTCCAATTATCTGAGAGTATTGTGAGTTGAGGAATGGGACCGGCTACCCAATTCCAGCGTACCACACCATTCTGACAGCCGTCTTTCGCCACGCATCGAAGCTTTTGTTCACGGGTATAGGTGTCCAGACCACTTGGTTCCAGGTACACCTCACTCGGTGATCTGCATTCCACAGACGGTGGCTCGATTAGATCTTGTTCAATAGCACCGCTTTCAGTCAACAAACAGCCGACAGGAAAAGAGCTAAGATCCCAAGTGAGCATCTCGTACTGGTCGGTTACCCGAATGATCACACTACTCAATGGTGCGGATAGATCATCAGTCCGATTGGATCCAGTTGACCGATGCGCAGGAATGAGATGAAATGTGGACACAGCTCGATCCGATGGGTTCGTAGTCCATGCCACACATCTGGTGAGTAACAATTCACCAACATAGACAGTTTTCAGTGCTTTCGACCAGACACGTGATCGTGGTATTGTTTTCTGACTAATCACAATAGCTCGCGTTTCTCCTTGAAACAGGCTTCTTATCGCTTCACTGTGCAAGAATACTCCTTCCAGGGTGCGACCAGTACAGTAGTACTCGCCACTATCGAATTCCTAGTAGGAATACACGAGTGGAGATGTTTGTACAGACATCCAATCATTGCACATTCGAGGCAGATGGGAAGAATGAAATTCAAGGATTCGAGATACTCATTTGAGAAATTGTACAAAAAATTTCAATTTATTAGCGTGAAGATAAAATGATAGCAGCAAATCTCCGTGTGAGATGTCATTTATTCCCCTCTACATTACTCAAATTTTAAACGGGAAATCAAGCAACAAAAGGATAAAATATGGTTCATCTTCAAAAGATTTTCTGACTCCTTTCAAGCGAGAAGATAATCGGGCGATTGACGCGACTAGCGACGTGCTTCACGCCCTTTGCATTGCCTAGCTTTGTCCCCAATCTGGAAGAGGTAGGGGATTCATAGATTAACATTAGGGGGATTTCGGGATAGTGTGATGTAAAATTCATGTGCCAAATTGCTGTTTGGTAGTATTTTATACGGCATATGGTATGAGGTAATCACCTTGCTCTTTTGATTATGTCATTGTTCAATTTTGTTCAAACACTAACCACGCACATTAGTGCACCGGTCGTTGTGAGACCGCAGTCTAACAAAGTGACAGTTCCCTTGGTCAAGTCTTTATCAATCAATCGATGCTCAACTTTCTTCAATCATCATTGTCCTCATCGCGATCGCCATCATCATCAGCATCATTCATTCATTCAGTGTCTCTGAGCATCGGGTAGGATCATCCCGAGGTGCCCATCCAGGAGCCTAACGGGACCTATGTGACCCAGTCCCCCTGGTTAGGGCTTTCATACTCTCATACCAGATCTTAGCTTGACCACCCGGGGCTTTATTCCACCCACTACCTGCCTCAGAGAACATCGCTCGCCGTGGCAACCTATCTGGTGACATACGTAACACATGCCCCTACCAACGTAATCTATGGAGGTCGATCACTTGCTTCAGTGGGTGGCCGCATTTACCCAAAACTCTGTGCCTAACCTCATCATTGTTCGTCCAGCTGCCCCACCAGGTTCATGCAATGCTGCGTAGAGAGCGGTGTTCAAACACCGACAGTCTGTCTTTATCCTGATTTCCTAATGGCCAAGTTTCCGCACCATATAGTAGAACTGACCGAACTACTGCAGCATTTACTCGCTCTTAACAGACAGCCGGATGTCACAACAGTGCCACAGATGTCTCAAGTTAGCAAATGCCAACCAAGCCTTCTGTATGCGAGCTGACACTTCATCGGTGATGCGTCCGCCAGGTGAGATGTAGGTGCTCAAAATACAAAACTTATCCACTTGCTCTATTACTTCCTCAGTTAGAATGAGTCTAGGCGCTGGACCAACCCAGTCTTGTAGTATCATTTTGCACTTTGAAGGTGCAAACCGCATACCGAATATAGCTACACTGGCACTCAAGCTGTCCAAAAAAGCTTGCAACTTACCCGGCGCTTCACTTAGCAGCACTATGTCGTCTGCATACTCTAGATCAGACAGCGTGACATTTGGATGTACATAAATCAAAGAGATAGAATGGCTCCCTTCAGAGTAAACAGCTTTTCCTTCGTACATCGAAGATCCATCCGTCAAAGTGCATTAAGCTTTCCTGGACACAAGATAATGACAAAATTTACTACGAAGGTTGACCAGAAGAATTAGTGTCATGGGTCTCAATCACTAATAGCGACCCGTTCCTCTACAAAAGCCGGATTTCAGGGATGGCACCAAAATACACATCAGGTTGGTTGGTTTAATTGAGTTAATTGATGAATTACACAAGATCTGTAATATGAAAAACGATTTTAAATCCGATTTGTATACACTGCATTAAAATGTGCACCAGCAGTATGTGTTCTGGCAGTTCAAAAATGCGAATGAAACACGAAAGAACTTACCGAGTTTGGACCAGTGGTAAATTCCACCACCAGCTTGTCGGATTCATACATGAGTCGACAGCCTACTTCGAATTTTTCGTCTCCCATCAACCATGCGCGTGGATTTGCAAGCAACTCTTCCGGGTTGATTGCAACCCACTTTTTCGATTTACCACTTGGAATCATCACGGTCACCATGGCCACAATAAGATCATAATGCAACCAATTGTGTTGAATCAGCCGATGCAAATGAAGCAGTTGGATCTTCGACGTTTCGGAGGGCAAAGGTAGAACACAGACATAGGCTATCATTTCTCCAACTTTGTTCACGATTGTTTGTGGCCCAATAACGGACGGGTCCGGGCCCATATCGGTGCGTAAATCTTTGTGCAAACCGTCCGCGCTACAACGCAGATTCACAACACCCCGAGTGATTGCAGTTGGAGTTGAAATTTTTGGAGCGTATTGAACAATCCAACGATGGGTGACTATTTTTTTAACATTTCTCAGTTCGGAAAATGGTAGCAAATTTTCGTGTAGGGTTTTTGAATCTGTCTTCAAGACAACAGAATGATATCTTGAAAGATGTTTACGGAGCAAAGAGGAATCAATGTCAAGTACTCGGATGGCCGCTTTGGGAGTTTGTGGATAGGCATAAACAAAGCATTCCCAAAATTTCTTTTGTCTGTTATAAGAGAAACTAGCAATTTGCAGTGCGATTCGAAAACGCAATGAAATTACGTGGGAATAGAGTTCTGGTCTAGCAGTATCCGACTGTAGCTCTAGCAGATTCATCTCCATCGCTTGACAGAAGACAATCCCGTTAAAATCTTCCAACTGAATTTTGGTTAGCACTAACTGAATAGTTCGGTATAAATGATGCGAGCCCGGCCTTCGTGATACAATACATTGAGTTGCCAGATACGTGCGATCTGCTCTCTTCACATTGACAGTTTCCGTACAGTCCTGGTCTGAAGACGTAGTGAACTGGCAGTCATGCTCTTCGTCCACAATCTGTTTCACAGATTGATTATTGAAGCGCATTGTTTGCGTGTTGCAAACGAAGAATGCGGTGTTTTGGGTCAGGTAAAACATTTTCAATGGCACTTCTCGAGTCGTAGCTGGTAGCGTGCACTCAATGCTGATTCGATCGCCCACAGATAAGCTAGCCGGATCGGGACTGGCTGTGATGGTTGGTGGGCTCGGACAGTCAGACTGTAGTGTCAAACCGGAAAGCGGACGACTGTACTTAACTACATTACTCTGAGCAGGTAAATTGGTGAAGCTGGTTTGATGTTTCTCACTGTCCTGTTTCGGTCGCACCAGACAGTATAGGGCAGTCCCTTTGATCAATGGCATCATTTCAATCCACGTTAGATTGACTCCAGCCCATGCGTTCACCGGTGCCCAGATTGGTTTTCTTCGTGCCACAATGTGATACATTCCGGCTGACTTGACTGTTTGTGCCCGGGATTGGTAAATAAGTAGGACTTCCAGATTTGGTGCATAGCCCCGAATGGTGCATCGCAGCTGTGCAGCCCTGGTATTGCTCTGAGGCCAGAGGTTGACTCGCAACTGTACCGAAGTCACTTCGGGTACAGTTAGTATGACTTTGTGCAATTGAAAATTAACAGCATCGTAAACCTGCAATTTCGAAAACGTCATTTGTGAAACAGGAATCGTAGCGCCATGGTAAATAAACAGGTCATATGATAACAAGTCTATGCCTTTCATAACGTTCCCTCTAATCCACCGCAACCAACTAAGTGAGAATTGGAAATGGCTGTTATTTTCCCATTCCCGATAATCGCTGATTTCCAAGAGCAACGGACTGTGCTACACTTTCCATGCCCGGTCTTGTTTTTTTATCTACCATAAAAGTCTGCTAAGCCCGCCGTTTTCCTTTCAGTTGTCGATTTCACTGACCAAACATTTAGTGGAATGTGGTCATGCTCACAAATATTTTCGTGGAACGCTCTTCATTATACTTTGATGTGTTCTGTAAAAAAAGATGCCGAAAATAAATTGCACTGTGGCGAGTGCTTCGATGTCTGCTGAGTTGTGTATTTTGAGTAGAGGAAGCACTTGTTGGACTCATTTATCCCGTTGCATTGAAACAAAATCATGCGAAACCCCATCAGGCTATCAGAAATAGCTTATCCTATTGTTTACTTCCCACACAAACAACCGTGCAAATAAACTCAGAAGGTTCGGAATCGACAGGTGAAAAATTGTAATCAGCGGATTAGTTACTTCCCTTGAACGGAAATCCCCACTATTTCCTCGCAATGTTCAACGGCTTTCCAGCAGAAGACGTCTCACTAGCCTTTTGCTTGTCAGAACATGTGGGATGTATATATGGCCTTAACCAGACATGCATCCCAAGGAATATGACTGGTCTGGCTCACATGTTGCACTCGCAGCTTAGAAGCAACATACGAGACAATATTCGATGTGATATCATCCACCTACTAAATAACCCAATGTGTGTGTTCGTAAACAGACCTCAAAATCAAAAAGTACACCGCTCAGGTCCGGATCCTGAATATTCTTTGTAGTGTGTATAACTTTTTTTGCAAGCACTGGAGCTCACATTTCAGTTACAAAATCATACACGCTGCCCGTCACAATGTACATAATCAACGGGGAGAAAAGGTTTTACAGGTATGGGGACATTTGATAATCCAAGGTTAAGACAAAGTTCACTTATTGTCCGCTCTTTGTTTATGAGTAGACGAGCAAGATATGGTATGGGTGAATTGTGGTATGCATTAATTCGAGATGAAATTTGGTGGAATTTGGAGCGTGTTGAATGATGGCAACGATAAAGTGTCAGTTCTGCATGCAATGGGTGGTCAGGATTTGTGAGAATACTCTCAGCAAATTTCACACAGGAAGTTACGTGATACTCTGAAAGCTTTACAGCTAATTCATTCACAGGAATAGAAGAGATGCGACTAATAATGGTTAGACAGCGGCGTAAGACTTTGAAATCCTGTTTGAGTAAACCAGGAAAATAACCGGGGAACAGTAGAGTAAGATGGGGAAAACACATTGATAATCAAAAGTAGAAATAACTGAGTGGGATGCGCAAAACTGCCTGAACTTTCGTATTTGAAATGAAAGGCATCGCAGTTTACCAATGCAGTTGTAGATGTGGGTTGACCAATGAAGATTGCTATCTATGGTTACACCAAGATATTTGACAGACTTCACCCTGGATAAAGGATTGCTATTAATCGCTGTGGGGTCTGTCGGATATGGAGAGCGAGCAAAATTATATAAACACTCAACACATTTACTGGGATTCAGGGTTAGCCCCGATG